ATTGCCATTTCTGTGCCCCTTGTGATGATTGTTACTTCTTTGTCCCTTGTAATGATTGCAACTTCTGTGTCCCTTGTAATGATTGCAACTTCTGTGTCCCTTGTAATGATTGCAACTTCTGTCTAGCACTAAATGAAACGAAACTGTTGTCTGTATTGGACACTTCCAGTGTCTGTTACGGAACAGGGTTATTACCGGCGGACCCTCCCAGCATCCGATGGTGTTTAAAGAGTTAAAAGAAAAACTGGAAAGATTATTTTGTTACCACTATTAAGATATATTGTGTCGGGTTTTGTATTTTATTTGCAAATTAAGAGGAGAGTAGAATGGATGTTTAGACAACATGACAAATTCGACATGAAATTAATTTTGTTTTCATTGTCTGCATGTTCGCTTACATAGGAATTTGTCAGAAACAATCACCCATTGTTGAGGAGAAAAGTGGTTGTCTTAGACAGGTGGATATCTCAGACTGTCTCATAATAATATAGAAAAAAAAATAGCAAGTGGGAGAGTGATCTTTCGTAAGAGCTTGGTCAACTGTATTTGCAAAGTCAAAGGAGAGAATGATGGGGACTGAGGTAATGTCACAAAGTTAACATGAAGATAATTTTTTTGTTGTCTGCATATTCAATTATTACTATATTTAAAGAGTCTGTTTCTTTGCTGTTTAATTTATTTATGAAAGTACAGCATTTAGGGGATTGTGTAATCCTTGATTTATGATTGTGTCAAATTGGTTGTTTTTTTTTCCTAGGAGCGAGAGAGACGTCGACAACACTTGTTGCTTGTGAAGGCACTGGAGCAAAGGAAAAAACAAGAAGAGAAACAGGTACAGTAGAGAGATTTTGGCTCAGTAAATTGTGGGGCAGTGTGGTGCAATAAATTGTGGTACAGTATGGTACAGTAAATTGTGGTACCAAAAATTGTGGTACCAAAAATTGTGGTGCTGTGAATTTGGGTAATCTTTTTCTTAACCCTCATCCTGCGGGAGCCGGGTTTATGTAGCCCGATAAGCCTATTTCGGCACCTCGCCTGCGTTCTGGTCCCGAGTCAGTGTAGCTCCTGGCTCAGCGCATGCGCAGCGCGCATCCTCTTACGTGTCATTCGGGTCCCGAGTCGGATCCCCATTCACGCAGGTCAAGTGTGTGTGCGTCAGTCTGCTTGAGTTTGTGTGTGTTTGTGGCCTTCTTCTAGAACCACCTGCGTTGGTTCGTAATCGAGGCATACGTCTCATTCAAAACATGCCAAGTTGATAGCTCTAGATGTTCGTCCAATGAAATTATAGAAGAAATTGACCCACTTAGACATGAGGAGCTCGAAAGGATAGTCAGGAAACAAGACTTCCTTTTTTCTGTACAAAATATTTCAAATGAGCACGTTTCCTGGCGCGCGCGCTGCACACCAACAGTACACACTGAGTGACCCCGGCGGCCTGCCGGGCACGTCCGACGTAATCGGTTGCTGATAAGATACGCATCTGGGCACAGACGCAGGATAAGAGTTAAGGATACAACTCAGAGTATCTTGATATTGATTTTGCCTTTTTTGTTTTATAGTTATTTCCATGCACACCATGGTATGCTATATAAATGTATACAATGTGATTTGACAAGGCCTAAGATGGATACCCCAAGGGAAAGGGAAGAGAGGAATGGGAGATTGACCTGGGAATGAGATCTGGGAGCAGATGTTACATGGGGCATTTGGGGGCACAGCTGGCTGGAGATAGTGGTCGCCCAGAACAGAGACAGTTCGAGAGCCAGGTTGGAAGAGGTGTATAATGATGAAGATGATAATAATGATGATGATGATGACGGCGATTCATTGGCTTCCCTTTAATCGTGTTATTTTTCTCTTTTACAGAACAAGGAGAGACTGAGGGAAGAAAAACTGAATGAAAAGATTCGTCAGAAAGAAATGAGAATGGTAAATTTTTAATGTGTTGAACCTTGTGCAGTTTCTGATCTTAGAAGTGTTTAATGAGCTGTGATTTCTCTGCCATTGTTCTGATTGTGTTGTCCCTTAAAATGATTGCCATTTTTGTGTCTCTTGTAATGATTGCCATTTCTGTGCCCCTTGTGATGATTGTTACTTCTTTGTCCCTTGTAATGATTGCAACTTCTGTGTCCCTTGTAATGATTGCAACTTCTGTGTCCCTTGTAATGATTGTGATTTTTTTGTCCCTTGTCATGATTGTGATTTCTGTCATTGTCCCTTGTAATGATTGCAACTTCTGTGTCCCTTGTAATGATTGCGATTGCTCTCTCTCCTTCGTGTAGCAACAACGACGTGTGGAAATGGAAGTCGCCATGGAACTGAAGAAGCCTGTGGATGACATGGAGCTTAAAGTAGCCAAGGTAAGCTGAGGGAAACATGTAACTGTATAGACCGACAAGTTGTTGTTGAGATGTTATACTTCTACTTTTTCTGTTGCGAAATATTGGATAACATACATAGTTCAGAAGATATACAGTGGTAAAGAGAATTAGAAAGTAACATTTTTAGCAGAATGTTTAGGGGTTTCTCTTGTCCTGGCTTGTTAGACTAGATGGTGCTTTAACCCTAAACTTACTTTCCTATGCCTTCTACTCTGCCTTCTACTCTGCCTTCTACTCTGCCTTCTGTTTCTCCTTCATGCTTGTCTATATTGCCTTTTCCCCAATACTAATGTTTCAGCCTATCTTGCTCTTTCCCAGTACTAAATGACCGTTACTGTCTTGATGTGCTTCATTTTACTCTTAACTCAAACACCCCTCCTGTGGGTGGTTGGCGGGTGCTCTGGTGTGGTTTGCTCCATCTTTCCTATCAAATGTCTATCGTCTTTATCTCCCCTCCTTCTATTTTGTTTTTGTTACTCTCTTGTAACACCTCTAATATTCGGCACTTATATGACCTTATTGTGTTGCAAGTGCTGTAAAACTCTTACTAAAACTAAAAAAACACCCCTCCTTCCAGTACCATACAGTGCCACATGATGAAATGTTCATATCTTTTTCTCTCTGCGTCACAGCCTCTACCAAAATATCCACGCATGAAGACGCGACTTCCAGGCCGACCCATCGCCGACTGTCTCATGGTGGTGGAGTTTCTCAACAACTTTGGGCTGGCTCTCAACCTTGGTGCGTGTTCCAATCTGTTTTTTTAAATGTATTTTTATTTAAAAACTCAGGAAGATTGTTCTCCACTCCCACCCTTCCACTCATTTTATGATGGATCAGGAACCCTTAGGAGCTTCAGTGGTCTAGTAGTCATTGTTCACATTTTCATGAAACATGTCTGACTGTAACATTGGGGATACTGTCGTTATAGACTGATGGTTACTTGGTTGTGTCCTGTAACTGAACACGTTAACCTAACTCAAAAAATGGGGGGGGGGGGTCCGTCCTTTGGTTTTTCTTTTGGATTAAGATACACAAATATTGAGTTGAAATTGCTTAAAAAAATAGGGGAGGTCCCTTTGTTTTTCTTCTGGATTAGGATACGCAATTATTATTGAGTTGAAACTGCTTCAAACTCCATCCTAGAGACATGATTTCCTGCAAATAACACTTTGGTTTTGACCTGACTAGGCCCTAATTTACAAATTGGATTTATGGCAGACAAGTCTTTAGTTAAACTAACTTAACTTTCATCTGAGAGACTAAAATTTAATTTTCAGCAGATATGCTCGTGTTGAAAATTGACAGTGGGTGGTCGGTGGGTGCTCTGGTGTGGTTTGCTCCTATTTTGTACCAAACATCTATCATGCTTATCTCTCTCTCTTTTTTGTTTTTGTTACTCTCTTGTAGCACATCTAATCTTCAGCACTTATATGACCTAATGTGTTGCAAGTGCTGTAAAACTCTTGCCAAAACAAAGACCTCGTATTTACAAATTAGATTTCCAGCAGACAAATCTTGAGTTAAAACTTCATTTTAGAGACAAGATTTTCTGCAGATATCCTCTGGTTGAAAACTGTCTCAAATTTTATGCATTCAAATCTGTTTTCCTATAGACAAGTCGTCCATCCCAACCATGGAGTCCCTGGAGCGAGGTCTGATGAACGACTCAGAGGACGACGTGGAGGAGTTTATGTCTCTGGTCATGCATCTGCTCCGTTTTGCTCTGGACGATGTTGGGGTGCCCAACCCTAAGGAGGTAGAGAGCAGTCATTTGTTGTTGTTGTTGTTGTTGTTGTTCTCCTCCTCCTCCTCCTCCTCCTCCTCCTCCTCCCCCTCCCCCT